AAAAAACCGGAAGAAAGCCCAAATCCATGGCTTTTGGATTTGAACGGCGATTCCTTGGAGGAAATATTCGAATGGCTATCGCTGGAAGATTTGAACTCATTGAGTAAAACGTGCACACGATTACAAAGACTCGCCGGCCAACACTTTCAACGTACTTATCCGGATAGTTGGGTTTACTTTCGTGAAGAAGTTCCAACTATAGAACATTGGCCAAATCGTTCCGTCGATGCTTTTTATGAATTTATCCAAAGTATAAAGATCAATGTTGAAAATGGCTACACTAAATTTACCCAAAATCAATCGATTAAAAGAATCCGTTTCGATTTGAGTATAATCGAAATCAAAAGCATCAAAATCAATTGGAACAGTGTCGAAGAACTGCATTTATTTAGCTGTGAGGTTGTTGACGATTTGCATGAATATCTGCTAAAGCACTGTGGGAATTTGAAGAAATTGGTAATGATATTCTGGGATATTCCAAAAAATATCCAACTCTTGAATACCTCAAAGTGGCACCACCATGGTGGTTATCATCAAATAATCCCAGACAAATTAAAGTATTGAATTTCTACAAACAAATCGTTCTTTTTCTCCAATCAAATCCAAACATTCGAGCTTTATCAATTGTAGGTCGCAAAATGACAAATTTTTTCAAAGTGGCGCTGGAATCAAACGTTCAACTGGATGAACTTACCATTTGTCCTTCATTTCAAATATTACCGATAAGTTTGGTGAATCAACTGTACGACCGTGGTTTTTATAAACGATTACTTTTTCTATCAAGGGATATACAGGAAGGGGATCTTGACATTTTCAATTTGAAAGGACTTGAAATGATCGTAGATCCGCAGGTCATTATACAACTTGATGTTTATCAATCTGCTATGGCCGATATTAAAACGCTCTTTATCTATGAGCCACAGGACATGGAATATTTTGCAAAAAACTTTGTGAATGTTGAACGAGTTAGTTGTCTCTATATAACCTGTCAACGTGAAATTTTGTGGCTTATCAAATGTTCACCTAAACTGAAGGACATTTATGCCAAAGAATTTCGTGAAGGTGATAGGCTGCTTGACATATTCACATGGAATAAGGAACGTCAAAAGATACGAGGAGCGCAAAAAGTAACTATTTACGTCGATGAAAAAACTTTCTTAGAAACAAAATGGAAAATCAACTCAATTGATCTCAGCTTAATCACGATAAAACGCATCGAATCTTATCCGGCAACAATATTTGGTCCACAAGAAGTGCTTGACTCACTTTGAATAATGAATATAATATAAATTGAATGAATTCACCCAAAAAATTATGATCTTTTATGAAATTGTTTAAAACACCATCATCAATCAAAAATGAAATCAAAACTAGTATTGCTTTAAATTGAAAATTAATGTATTATAAAACATAAAATGACAATTTTTGTTTTCATCAGTTCTTTCACCTTAAAGTAACATCGGTTAATGTAATCTCACTGGTAACCACATTCAATGCCATTATAAATTCTATGTAATGAACATTGTGTATACTGTGCAGGGCTTTAATCTGGAGCAAACTTGGAAAAGTAACCACTTGTTGTTTTAAGGTACTCTATTTGCAGGAAAGATGCAGTAATAATTATTGAAAAAACTAAATTCTAAGAATAACAAAACGAAAATGACATACTTTTAACACAACATTTGTTGCTTCTGTTTATTGATTTAAAAAGAATTTTTTTTTGGTTTACAAAAGAAGTTTAAAATAAAAAAATAAAATGGAACTTTGATCTAATGTGATGGTTTACATGTGTTGCGTCTTAATTTTTCGTTTCATCTATTATTGATGACGTGGTACACCAGCTGAAATGTTCCTCTTTGAACTCGAATTTCTGTGCCGCAGCGATGGACTTATATTACCGATGACTTTGTGCACGTTCTTACTTCTTTGATTTTTCCATTTCATTAAACCGCTTAGCTCGGTAATTAATTCCCAGTCGGCGATTGTGTGTAGTCGTTTATGAGCAAACAACATGACCATTGAGCCGAACATTTTAGGGCATGTATCGCATTTGTAGTAAATTGCATATCGAGGTTTATCAACTGTTTTCGATTGACTTGCTACGATTTGCCCCTTTGGAGATAAAGGTCGTTCAGAAATGTTTGCTTCCTGCGGTGGAGTAGATGGAACGGATCCATTCTCTTGTGGTGAAGTAGTTTCCGGGGTCGTTTCTCTGAGTGGTGAACGCAACAATTCGTTGGCATGAATTTTCACCATGGGATACACTAGGTTTTCTTCTTTTCCCAAATCTTCAGTAACTGATTGTTCGTTGCTGTTTGTGGTGTTCAACAAATTCTCGATTTTCGGTTTGACGTCCATCATATTCCACGTTGGCATGTCAGAAAATGCCGGATTTACTGCAATATCATTGACTTCCATAGGTTCTCGGTAAATAAGTTCATAATCAGAACCAACTTCTTTTTTGATCGACACGTTCATTGTGATAGCTTTTTGATTTTTTTTAACTTTAAATTTAGCAACCGAAATATGAACTTACTTGTTCAAATAACACTTGAAAACTGATGAAATGAGCGCTGTGGCAGTCCTTTTATTTTGTTTCGGAATCTTCAAAAGCCCATAATTTTCATTTTCGTTTCTTAATGAATCTCCTAATGATTTATCTCACCACAAACACCTTTTAACAAAAGTAAATGCCAAAATTCGACCCTTTTTCCAGGTACCTGTACATTTAATGAAAAAACCACCTGCCAAAGAAAGCCTTGACGTAATTAGAACTCACTAATTAACAATAGTTAGTTTTAAGATAATAAACTAATTACCTCAATAAATTCACCATCGACAAATTACTCGACATAAAAGTGTTGTAATTTCTTTTAAAAATGCTTAAAAAAGAGTCCAAATTGACTACAAGGAGGTTGAAAGCAAACAGTTAATAAATTAATATTGAACTGTTGACAACGATATTTGCAAGGAAATACATTTATGCAACAGCATCGTTCTATAATGGATGTTCTACGTGGATTTAAAAGACTATTCGCCAGCAGTAAGTGTAAGCCAACGATTAAGAAAGACATCAAACGTTTGTGTAACAGTTTAAATAGTTCGCAAAGAACAAGATATGTTTGTGAATTTTGTCCGCGCAACAAAAGACTGTTGAAGTGTTGTCAGAAGCACCATTTGAGTCGATTGAGGGGCGCGACAATCCAATGTCGATTTTGCGCTGAAAATTTCGACTTAAGAGCTACTTTGAATGCTCATATTCGATATTCACATTTGGAGCGAGTGGTTTCCCGAAGGAATTATGAAATAGTGCAAAATAACAGCAAACAATTTGAAGGAGAGAAGATACAAAAAGACACTGGAATGAAAATATATTCAGAAGACGATCACAAAAATCAGATGACCGACACCGTGGCACACAATTCGATTTGGAAACAATTTGAACGATTTTTCACAGATACAGAGTATTATCACCTACTTTATTTTCTTTTAGTTGTTGGACTTTTTGGCTTTGCGAAATTCGCAGATCAATAATGATGGTATATCGAACAAAGGAGGACATTCAAACAAAAAGATGGACATATTGGTCATTTTCAATGAAAAGCAATATTAATTTTATTTCAGTTCTGAATATCAATAACATTCAACTTATTTTCATCTATTCCCATTATTAATTGTAAGAAAAAATGCAAAGAATCAACTTTGTAAATTATAAATTGTAAATTATAAATGTGTGAAAATAAATATAGAAAAAGAAAGTAAATATCTTTTCAAAAGAATTATTATTTTTTGGTCCTTAGATCTGCGCATCAATATTAATCCATTTTCTTGTTGTGAATACGTTTGGTGTGACTATCCAAACTGGAACTGTGAGTAAATTTACGTTTGCACATCTTACATTTGAAGTTCATTTTGCCGGTATGCTTCGTCATGTGTCCTTTCAAGTAATTTTTTCGACCGCCAAAGAATTTCTGGCACAAATAGCATTCGTAACCTTTCAACATACACATCTTCTCGTGTACTTTGCGTTGAGTTTTTTCAAGAAACCGAGGCGACAAATCGAACATCTAAACGGGAGATTCTTTGTATGTGATTTCATATGCCGATCAAGACCGGTTTTCTGTATATATTGCTTCAAACAATGTTGACACTTGAATTGTTTTTCGCCTGTATGATCGTACATACATGGCTTATCAATCGTGGTTTGTTGTTGCCAAATAATTTGCCGCAAGCATAACATTCGTATAAACGTCGGCTGCATTTGCCTTCATGTGAATTTCTTTCGCTTTCAAGTGTGAATCCCACTCGGCATCTCGAACAGCGAAATGACCGTGGACCAGCATGAAGTTCCATGTGTTTAATGAGACTCAAATTCTTTGCATTTGGTGCATTCGAATGGTTTGTGGCCGCTGTGAACCCGCACATGATCAAATAGATATGATTTAATTGATCCAAAGGATTGCTTGCACAAATGACACTCATAGCGACGAACCTTGCAACTTCTTATGTGGATCATTTTATGTTCTTTTTTATTGAAGCCTTGCAAACAGCCAGGACAGTGGAACAAAAACTCTTTCACATGAACTTTTATGTGGTAGCTTAGACGTTGTTTTGTTATAAAACTTTTTGAGCAGTACTTGCAACCATATGGCCTTTCATTGGTGTGTGTACGAGAATGCACTTTCAAATTTGACTTGACGTTGGTTGAATATTCGCAAAGATCACATTTGTGTGCTTTCGGACCATTTTTTGTGACACTGTTGCTCATTGGACGACCTTGGTCTGGTTGTGCTTGTTGATTTTCTTGGTCATTTGTGGCATCTTCCCCCGAATCACCATTTGTGTTTGGTTCATTTCCTTGTTCCTCCTTGCATTCGATTTCTTCGTTTGGCTCCATTTTCACCTCGCGGACGCGCACAAGTTCGAAATCATAATCACCATCATGCTCATTGGAATCGCGTAATCGCTGCGATCTACTATCGTCCAGTACGGGAACGACGATTAAATGACCAACAGAGTCTGGATCTTCTTCTTTGATGTATGTTTCTTGTTTGATATCGTCCGGATCAATCAAGCTCGCAATGCCATTGTGCATCATAGACATTCCCGAACTTTTCAACTGAAATACTGTGCTGCGATGCAAATCTTTAACTGGTGTTACCTTTAGTCGCCTAATATTAAACAGAAAATAATTATCAGTATTTCTTGGCAACAATCTATTTTCATAATATCATTCAATCAAAAAATTAATAATGGCAGCAAATGGCATTCAAAATAAATTCATTTGATGATTGAGAATTTTTTTTCCATATTTAGTCTCATTCCAAAATGAGTAACAATTCTACGACGCAATTTATTACAACAACAACAACAACGGTTCCGTGAGTTGCCAAGCGATTTACTTACTTCTTTTTCTGTTCCATTTTATTCCGCTGAATTTACTGTTTCAATCAGTAATTGTGAGTGTATTTTCAGTTTTTATCTTGGCTTATCGTTGAATTTAATGAAATTTCAATAAAAACCAATTTAAAATACGGCGAAATTTGTATGCAAAAGGACTATACCATCGGCACCATTTAAATACGTGTTTTTGCTTTGGTAGTCACCGATGAAAAGAATGTGCTAACTGTGTGACGGAAAGAATACTGTAATGGAGCAAAAAAAAAATGAATAAGGTAAATGTATTGGTGCAAAATGAATGTCTTTGTCGCTGCTGTCAAAGTATTTGTGAGTTTCGCTATGAATTGGCGCGAATCGCTAGGCACAAACTGATCTGGTTTGATTGAATTCAATAAAATAGTACATCAAATTTTTCAATTTTATGACAAAAATTCGCCATTCGAAAAAAGATTTATTTTTGTTAAAAAACAACACCAAACTCGTTTCGGCCACATCAAAGTTGGATAGAATTCCAACCAAAAAGGTGGTCCAGTTCAGTTTAACGGCGCTGCATTCGCTTGTTAGGTCGTAAATTTACAAGACATCGTACGTTTTCAAATAAAAACTGTTAATAATTTGAATTTTTTTATAAATATTAATTTCACAGTCGCTCTTTTGATAGAAGCCAAAAAATTTAGTTCATAAGGATCATTGCGATTTTGTTAATTTGAAATTGAAATTAAACGAAATTATTGTAAAAAAATCCAAAATGTTATTTAAAATGAAAAAAGGTGCTTTATGGCTTTTTGTTTATTTATTTCACGGTCGTTTGTCATAAAAGTTCTGACCAGAGAGAATTATTTGGTAACACAATTAACAAAAATACCACAAAAACAAAGCATAATTTGAGTACAACATATTCAATCCCAATCAGTATTTGTTCAAAAACATCATTAAGCTAATGACATTAAAGCACTTTTCTCATCATCACTAATTACACTTGGTCATCTATATCTAACACTGCCCACCTCTCATTTGCATCAGTATCAAAGTGTTCTTCAAAAATTAACGTTTTGCTAACCGAATTTTAAAAATCACAATGAACGTTTTGATTGAAAAAGAAGTGGATGAGGTTGTCACTGGCTGTGAATATATAACACCCGACTATGACATAGATTTTGTGTCGAATAATGTGATTTTTGGCATTTCGACATGGACTAGAATTTTCAAACGGAAAATCGAGGATCTTTCCAGCTCCGGCTGCACAGTTAATAACGACCTACAGAATTGGGATTCTTCATGCATCGATCCCAATATGGACATTATATCATCGGAATGGCAGAAGTCTATTCCATCGCCAATGAAGCAAATCGAATCAAACGAAGAAGGAGTCGATGACTTGATGTGTGAAACTAAAGACTACAAATGCGATGTATGTCCAAAAAGCTTCGAGACAATGAGAATGTTGTTAGCTCACAAACGACAACACTCGATTGCTGAAATGGAATCCGATCTCGAGGTGGACCATAAACGAAGTAAGAAAAATAAACGAAGTAAGAAAATACGCAAAACCATCGGCAAGATGAGAACATCATTGAAACATAAAAATTAAATTCGAAGAGGAACATGTTAGCATCTATACCACATCATATCAACAAATATAGATTAAATGTATAAAAAATCGAAGTAAAAGAATGATATGATGCTCATATTTGGACGAGGCTCATTTTTAATGAAAATACCCATTCTCTCATCAGGTGTGCAGAAAAGTAATAAAAAACCCCAAACCAATTTCAGTGAATTTTGAACATCATTTTTTCCAATTCGTAGAAAGCCAAAGCCTTATCAATATACATAGTTTTTTAACAACTCTTCCATGTAAAGAAAATACGAAATAAATAAATAAAACAGTAAAAACAACAATCTTTTGTGTCATTTCCATTTTGTTATTCTTGGAATTCATATTGTTCGGTGCTATACTGAGAAAAAGCTGTAAATTTACCTGCTTAAGGATAATTATCGTTTCTCATAAAGTATTAATTTGTCTAAAACTAATTACTTTTCGCACATTTTCACAAAAATAAAGTCAAAGTTTGACCCTTTTTCAGGTAGAAGAAAAACCATATATACTTACAAGCTCAACTGTGCATTGCGTCAATTGGTAACAAGCAACCGAGCAAGAAACATCGTATAGTCGACATACAATTTTTGCAATTTTTTTTTAAAGAGTCCAAATTGACTACAAGGAGGTTGAAAGCAAACAGTTAATAAATTAATATTGAACTGTTGACAACGATATTTGCAAGGAAATATATTTATGCAGCAGCATCTTTCTATAATGGATGTTCTACGTGGATTCAAAAGACTATTCGCCAGCAGTATGTGTAAGCCAACGATTAAGAAAGACATCAAACGTTTGTGCAACAGTTTAAATAGTTCGCAAAGAACAAGATATGTTTGTGAATTTTGTCCACGCAACAAAAGACTTTTGAAGTGTTGTCAGAAGCACCATTTGAGTCGATTGAGAGGCGCGACAATCCAATGTCGATTTTGCGCTGAAAATTTCGACTTAAGAGCTACTTTGAATGCTCATATTCGATATTCACATTTGGAGCGAGTGGTTTCCCGAAGGAATTATGAAATAGTGCAAAATAACAGCAAACAATTTGAAGGAGAGAAGATACAGAAAGACACTGGAATGGAAATCTATTCAGAAGACGATCACAAAAGCCAGATGAACGACACCGCGGCACACAATTCGATTTGGAAACAATGTGAACGATTTTTCACAGATTCAGAGCATTGTCACTTACTTTTTTTTCTCTTCGTTGTTGTACTCTTTTGCTTTGCAAAATTCGCAGATCAACAATGATGGTGGATCGAGCAAACGAGTACAATCAAACAAAATTATGGAAATATTTGTCATTTTCAATGAAAAGTTACGTTCATTTTATTTGAGTTCTGAATATTATTAGCATTCAATTTTTTCATCTATTCCAATTATTATTGTAAAAAGATTTGTTGTAAATTTTAAACATGTAAAAATAATAATAAAAACCCCCAAAGAAACGACTTTAATGATGTTTTCATTCCTTCTTAATTTGTTTTTTTTTTTTTTCAAATATTACGCCGTTTGCACCAAATAGCAGGTGGCGCGATTAACACTCATTTGCATCTGTCACATGCAATGTTGTGACATTTTGCGTTCACACAAAAAATGCTCACCACACAGTTACCGTAACATTCAATCAAAATCGGACAAAATTCAAGGTCAATCATAGCTCCACCAGATATTTAATGTCATCATCAATGGATAAAGTTGGTGATAAAAGTAAAAAATTAGATCGTCCCGATACACCAATACTACGACGAAGTCGACGATCATGTGTTATTTCGAATGAACGAAAATTAAAATGTTGTTCTGTTGAAAGTTCGCTCAAAACGTTCCGCCATGAACTCCTCTATACCGCGTGGAGTGAAAAGCAGTTCGAATGCAGTGTTTGCCATAAAAAATTTGTAAGCAAATTGAATTTAAACAAACATCAAATTAAGCATCGCAAACTGAATAAATGGTGTTGCAGTGAATGTCCGGAGATTTTTGAATGTTCAGATGACGTTTATTGGCATGAACGAATTCATCATTGGATCGATATGCTTGAGCTATTTTCGCCATTTAAGTACAAAGAGTCAAAATTGATTTTTCAAAGTGACGGCGTTGAGAAAAAACTGAAAACCATACCCGAGAATATTGACGACGAATTAAAGGCTTCGTCGAAGGACAGTGTCGATGGCACCAATAGTACCAATACCGATAGTACCATTGACGCCGATCACAATAATAGGCATGGTGAAATGTCAGGAAGTGACGGTGATCGACCAGAGTCGATGGAATCCAGCTCATTTGTAATTACCAGAGCTATTCATATGACGGATGGTGGCACCATGAACAAACCTGACGATAAAGTAAAGAGCAATGGAAACGAACAACAGGTACGTTGGAAGTACTTTTTTTTTCATTCCACACAAATTTCATAATTCGGAATCATTCATTTCACAGATTATTCGTTCAATTCAAAATGATACGGAGCTTGATACGGAGAACAGTAATGAGTTGAATGTCGAAAAACTAATCATGCCACCAACCAATGAAAATAGTATATTAGTTGAAACTAATGGAAACGGTGTAGAACGAACGGACGATGCCATAGCTACCAAAGACGATGGCACAGCACACAAAAGCATTGAAACTTACAAACATTTTAGTAACACAAACAAAATCGAAGGCAAAGTGAAGAGCACAACCAATGGAGGGTTGAATGAAGAAAATGCCATAGAATTTCAAGGACTATCGACGAGAAAAAAACCAATGGAGCTTTCATTAGAACGTAACGGTGCCGAACCAGATGGTCTGAATTCCATAGTTGAAACAAATGAGTGCAGCCCCGAAGCTACTCAACCAAATATGGTGGGTGATACTCAGAGAATTACACAGAAAATCATTGAACAAGCAGATGATATTGATAACGGTACAGCAAATCAAAGTGTCACAACTGATGAAAAGGAGCCTGAGGTACTTTGACTAGTTTTTTTATTTGTTCACCCAGTTTTACCTCTTGTGATTGATCTACTTGCTAGAACAATTCCCAGTCGATCGAAACAGAGCTTGGTAGTGACGTGGAATCGAGTGCCAACAAACCAAATGAATCATCAAGCGATGCAAATTCCACACCAGTCGAGGTCAAAGAGACACAAGTCACTGAATTACCGATGGTGGACGATGCCAAATCAAACGTAGTAGACGGTTCCACAAAACAAACTATCCCAAATGATGAAAATAACCAGAAGGTATTTGGGCTATTGTTTTCAATTCTTCATCAAATAATTTTGTTTTGAATGTTTCACAGATTATTTCCTCGGTTCCACCCTCAATTGAGATGGATAGGGGACTAGATGGTGATAGCGATGTCAATGATGTACCAACCGATGAAAATTTTACGGTTGATACAAATGGACCGAGTGAGTGTCGCGCCGAATCGACAACAAAAGTCATTGTGTGCACGGACGATGACAGACCAAACACAGTCGATGATGGAACAATGAAAACTGTCGAAAATGAAGGAAATGGAAAAGAGGTATTTTAGATGTAATTTTTCATTCGATGCAGAGTTAAAATTAAAGAGTGAATAAAACACGTGTTCTGGTTCATTACTAGATCAATTCACTAATTGACGGAATGGAAATGGAAAGCGATATCGTTTTGAATGCTGACAAACTAAACAATCCAGCAGCTAATTCTGTCGAAAGAGATGAGTACGGCATCAAAATCCCAGCTCACAAAATTACCATAAATTTTGGTCGTTTTCGAGAGGTATTTTGACAGATATTTTTTATTCATCACAGAGAATTATTTTATTCATCAATTATTGAAAAAGAAAAATCGAATTAATTGTTTCATTTGCTAGATGAGTTCCCAATCGATTGATGACACGGAGCACGAAAATACGAATGAACGGATCGACTCGAGTAGGGACACACTAAACGACTCACCAACGAACGAAACTTGTGTGGATGAAACAAATTATTGTGGTGGCGATATGTCGAGTGTATATGATCATCCCAATCAGACCCAATGTGATGGACAATCGGATATATCAAAATTAAATATCCAATTCAACAATATTCAATTGCATGAAAATTCGCCATGTAAACAGTGCGATACGGTATTTAATTGTATCGGTGCCAAATTGACACATGAATGTATTCAATCGAAAGTAACATTCACGCCGCGTGTACTTTTTCGTGAAGAACCATCATTTGAAATATCGGATTGTGTATCAAATGAGATGCCACTCGAAGACCAGAGTCCAATACGATTGATCAACGGTAAAAATAAGAGTCTACGACATTTAAATAAAAATGCCACACCAAAAACACCGCACTGGGACACTTCCTACTGGGACACTTCATTCGATCGAATTGAACGTGGCATGAGTAATGTTAGCCTTGATCAAAAGACCGGCGATGACAATGCAATTGAAACGATCGCTGAATCATTAAATGATGGTACGAATGTAGTGGAACCGGTAACGGAGCCAAGGTCTCAATCAAAGACAACATCGAAAACCAAAACAAAAGCAACACCAAAAGTGTTAAAGAAGAGCGTATCAAAGAAAGCAGAAAAAGAAGAAATTCCACAGAAAGAAACGCCAAATAAACAACCAAAAACACCACGAACACCACGAACACCACAAAATGCAGCAGTTGAATGCACAAGAAAGCTACGTTCAGCATCACGAACAACGCCCATATATAAATGTGATGGTTGCGATTTACTGACACCAACTTTAGTTCAATTGGATCGTCACAAAATTGTATGCCAGTTTTATGATCGCAAAACCTGTTCACCATCACGTGAACGTCGTACACAAAAGAAACAAGCCGAACCAATGAAAATACATACATCAACACCAAATAAAAACGATGCAAATATGCCATTGGGACTGATCGACACGCCAACCGTACCAAAAATTAAAATTGTCAGATCGGCGAATATTTGGATGGTGAAAAATTGACGGAGAAAAAAAAGACTACAATTTATTTGACAATGGACGGAACTTTTTCACATATTGAAAAATGTTGACTTAAATCATGTTTATATTAGACATACATTGCTGCTATTGTAAAGCATGACTGCATGAGGCAGGTGTGTATGACACACATGAAACGTACTACTTTATTAATCGATTTTTTTTTCATTATAACGAAATTTAGCATCGAAAAAATAGGGAAACCTTTTCTACCTCAGAAAAAAAATTCAAAATAAAATTTCGAATATTTTATCTATTTATTTTCGAATAATCATCGTGCATTTTAACGCATTTATTTTGAATTTGTGTACAACGCTTTTTTTCTAATTACTTTCCAGTGGAATAAGTTCGATTCCAGTATATTCCAGGTGGCGTGAGTATCAGTTGCAGCTGTCATTCGCATTGTTATGACAGTTCAACATCAGCTTTCAATCGCACATAAACAATTCTCTTGTAAAAAGTACTTTTTGATCGAAAATTTGTTTGATGAAATCGATGATTCTGACTGTATTCGGTTTCTTTCTGTAGACGGTGAGTTTGGGTATATTGGAATCTAGGGGCTTTTATCTTCAAATATATACAATTTATAATGCAAATAGTGAACTATATTGCAAAATCATCTGTAATACGTGCAAATAAATGTGCATAACTGCATATATTTGGAGTATATTTCGTGTATATTTCGTCTATGGCATGTTTTTTCATTCTCTTTTGTGCGAATCTTCTTCGATTCTGTGTAGCAATTCTGTGTGTTTGCTACACTGCAGTTTAAAAACCACCTTATTCACTGGTATAGGCAAGAAATTTTAATCGTATATATGATGAATAGGACGTGAATATTGTGTATAAATTTGTATGAACGACTGATGGAAGCCCCTAGATTGGTATTCAGTATTTTTGCTTTAATCTCTATATTTTTGTTGTTTGGTGACACAACCAGTGTAAAACGGGTTTGTAGCACGTATTGAATGAACAATTCTTGCTTTTTCATTTATTTTTGAAGTTTTCTACTTGAAGCAGCTTGGATTCGTTCAATTATATATTCCAGAGACCGTCCAAAATAAAGATGGAACTGTATATAAGCACACCGATTGATAAGCATACAAAACGACGATTTTCGGAGGTAGCACATGACAATCGACTGAGTCGACGTTCCCTTAACCGACCGTTTGAATGCAGCTATTGTTCGCAAAGTTTCAAAGTTCATAGTAATTTGTTGTATCACGAGCAAGTAATGCCAATTAAATTGACTCCATAACATATCATCCGATTAATTATTTATTTAATATTTATAGATTCACAAATGGAACCAACACAACCTGAAAGATGATGCCAAACCGTTCGAATGTGCCAAATGTGGTTTGAAATTTTTTCAAAAAGTTGAATTAGACCGTCACGGACTAGTCCATTGGGAGCGAAATCTTCAAAAATGTAAATGGTGTTCGAAGAAGTATGAAGTTGAACAGCACCTTCAATGGCATGAGCGAATTCATCAATGGATTGACTCACTCGATCAACCATTTGAATACGATGAATTTGGCGTTACATGGCAAAGTGAAACTGGTGATGAATCGATTGTTGTCGGTGAAGCGACATTTTCGAACAGTCCAAATTCATCCATTGGCAATGAACCGACAAAATCGAATCCAAGAAAGAGATCACATTCACCTGTGTATAAAATCCAACCAAAATTCGACTGTTTTGTGTGCAAACAACGTTTCACCAGCAAACAGAATTTACAAAGCCATAAATTAATTCATGTAAACAAAACACTATGCAGCTTTTGCGGCGAAACATTCAGTGAAAATGACAAAAAAATCACACACGAAATTACAGTTCACCCGCAGCCGAGTGTAATGTTGATGCCACTCGAAAATGACAATGATCTAAAGAATTTACTGAATAAAATGGGAATCAAGGTAAATGGGAAGGATGACGTGAAAACAATACGTCCAAAAAGACGTGTGAAAATCACACAAATGATTCCAGTTTTAAAGAAGGCAATTGGCAAGAGAAAATTTACACAAAAACAAATTTTGGTCAGAAGAAGTCAGAGAGGAGGGGGGAGAATTAAGAGAAAAGAAACAAAACTGGTTTTTCAAAGGGAAGGCGTCGAAGAGAAAGTGAGAATCATGCCCGAGGAAATTGACGACGAGTTAAAGGCTTTGTCGAAGGACAGTGTGGATGGCACCAATAGTTCCATTGACACCGATCACATTAATAGGCGTGGCGAAATGTCAGGAAGTGACGGTGATAGAACAGAGTCGATGGAATCCACCTCATTTGTAATTAACAGAGCTACTCATATGACGGATGGTGGCACCATGAATAAACTCGGCGGTAAAATAAAGAATGGAAATGGAATTGAACGACAGGTACGTTGGATGTATTTTTTTCATTCCATACAAATTTTATATTTTGGAATCATTCATTTCACAGATCATTCGTTCAATTGAAAATGATACGGAGCTTGATGCGGGGAACGGTACTGAGTTGAAGGCCGACAAGCTAAATAACCCACCAGCTAGTGAAAATAGTATATTAGTCGAAACTAATCGTTACGGTGTCGAACGAACGGACGATGCCACAGCTACCAAAGACGATGGCACAGCACACAAAAGCATTGAAACTTACAAACATTTTAGTAACACAAACAATGTCGATGGTAAAGTAAAGAGCACAACCAATGGAGGATTGAATGAAGAAAATGCCATAGAATTTCAAGGAATATCGACGAGAAAAAAATCAATGGAGCTGTCACAGTCATCAAAACGTAAAATAGAGCCAAAACTTAACTGTAAGAGTAGGCGTACTGTTAAAAAATTACAAAGAATCAAACAAAATGATGTGAAAACAATTAAAGACGAAGAAAATTTGCTGGTTGCGCCAATTGTGGAACAAATTGAGAATGAAGCGGTTACAACAAAATCGAAAACCAACAGTGATATTTTGAATGGGTCCGATGTGCCGTCATCTCAACAATCGAACAATAATTTGTCATCGTTCAAAAATAATGTTTGTCCAGACGTCGATGGTGTGAAACAACAAGAATTGATTCATATTAAGGAAAATTTACACGATTGCCGGAAAACACGGTCTTGGCAGAACCAATTCAATCAAATTGAACGGACGAAATTCAAGGTTAACCATAGCCCCACCATCAAACTATTTCGTATACTGAAAAATTAAATGAAAATATTGTCAATAAAAAATTATTACTTTTTTCAAAAATCGATTTTTTGTTGAATTCACTACGTCTTTTAAATGACCAGAAAAAAATGTGTATCAAATCAAATAATATTTTACTTTTCCGCATACCCACTGTGTGCAGTAAAGTATTGCAATCACCCCAAATTGACTTTTCAACCGATCATGATGATCTTTTTTTTAACATTATCTACGCACTCCCTGGATTCCGAATATGGCCAAAAAAAAAAAACGAAAAAATCATTTCGGTGGTCAAAAATGGAAAAAAATGAATTTTCAGAGATTTTTTCAAAATGCCCCCTGGCGGCCAAATTTTGAAATTTTTTAAATTTTTTTGCGGATTCTTCATTTGGTGCCCGAGCACTACTAAAATATGCAAAAACTCCTTTCCAAAAGTCAGCGGTATCGATTTTCATTTCTTTAACGTATATATAGAGTGACGCAAAATATATATACATATTTCATATGTATAGGGGTATTGCGTCACTTGGGGGACTGCCGTCTGTCAGCAAATGCTGGCTAGCACATTACTCTAAGTAAGTCTTAGTGGCAATAGCAATTAACGAATCACTGTTTTTTAGTTGAAAGGATTTGAAATGTTCAAAACGCTGATCTTTTCAAAAATTGATGTTGATCAAACTAGTATGGCTATTGTTAAAACACTATGGTATACTGGAAAGGGTGACGGGTTTATAAGTTAAACAGAATATTTTGCAAAATGTTTCGTAAATCTTGAACGGCTGTGGTTGGATGCGAGTATCGAACAGCATAAAATTTTATGGTTTTTCAAATGTTCATTAAAATTGAAGGAAATTTTTGCCAAAGGATTTGGCAAAGAGCTGCTTGACATATCCACATGGATCAAAGAACGTGAAAATTTACCGAGAGCTCGAAAAGTGATTATTCACGTCCGTGAAGGATGTTTCTCAGAAACAAATTGGAACACCGAATCAATAGATCTCAGCTTAATCACAATCAAACGCACCGAATCTTATCCGGCAAAAATGTTTAGCCCATACGATCTGTTTTTGCAAGATAGGTGAATAGATTTTAAAATTTGCTTCCATCTACAGACCAGAATATGAAATCGATAGATATCAATAATTTGTTTCAATTAAAACATTTATTTAAATATATAATATGAAAACTGTTGATCAAAAACGAAATGGAATTTTGAAAAATCCATGGACATTGAATAAATTGTATCAATAAACAGATCTTCTTTAAACGAATAAAATCAAACAAACATACTTTGGACTTCGAAATGAGCTTTTATTTCATTTTTGTTGTTATTATTTCTTTCAACTAAAATTTTAGTTATTTTATTGTTTTGCAACTAAAATACAGTGCTCACTCGATATTCTTAAATAGTTTGTTCCTCGGCTTCTTAAGAATACTGAAAACTTGAGAATTTAGAACGTCTGTAGAAAATTTAGAACGCAACATAATACAAAACATTTTTTGTTGTGTTTTTTAAGTACATATTTATAACATCAATATGATGGTCTTTTTGCCCTAATAAACAATATTCAAAGATAACAACAATTATTGAATTTTATGCATTTAAATATCATTTGTATTAATATTTTGATTGTTCAATGTTTATAAAATTGCAAAAAGAGAACATTTCATTTCAATGAAAGCATGACGGTTTTCAATCGGTTTCAATTGAGAAAATCCACATTCAACATTCTTAAGTCAAAACTTAAGATATTAGAATGTTACATTATGAACCAAATTAACTTAAGATAACTGGACAATTAAGAATTTCAGTACTTGAGAATATCGAGTGAGCACTGTAGATATGTACAATTTTTTGAATTTTTAAAATCATCAAAACAATCGAAGGTCTGAACGAAATGAAATATATGTTGAATATGACAGTCCACAGAAGAGAAAATATTAGGTTTTCTTCACTTCTGACACTAGATTGGTTCACTATTAAACCCTGTCTAATGGTTACCTTTAATAATTTTATGAACTCTACTTTCATGATGGCGTCTCGTTTGGGGTGTTTTGAATTTCTTATCACATAATCGGCATGGAACTGTCTTCTCGCCGTGGCTACGTTTATGAATACGTAAATTATCCTTGGTCCTGAATGATTTGTTGCAAATATTACAGAGTTCTGGACGTTCATTGGTATGACATCGAACAATGTGTTCCCTCAATTGAAACGGGTGGAAATATGCTTGCTCACATTCGGTACATTTGTGCTTCTTCACTCTGGTATGCACAGATTTATTGTGACAAATAAAATTCATTCTTCGTCTAAAAGACTTGCCACAAATCCCGCACAGAAATGGCTGAAAATAAAAACAATAATATTGGTGAGTGTCTACTGGATGCAGCTAATCAAAAAATATACCTTTTCTCCCGTATGTAGTCGCATGTGGTCATTTTTTTTGAATGAATGTTTGAATGTTTCCTCGCAGTAATCGCACTTATATAGTTTTTCTACAACGAAAAAGAAACAGCGGATTATAAGTCACTGTGTGAAAATAGAAAATGTCACGATTTTTTGTTACCATTCATATGAGTTTTTCGCATGTGTTGATCATAGTTATGTGGTAGTATGTTGCATAAATGACATCTTTTTCTAATGTGA